GGGGGGGGGGGGGGGGAGTGGGGTGTGTGGGGTGTGAAACGGCTCATCCATCGGACAAGGGCAGGAGGGAAGCTGGGGCTGCTGGAGCCTTTCAGCCCTAATTCAGAAGCCAGGCGATAAAGTGAATCCACAGTCCACGCTGAGACCTTTCCGGAGCTGCGTCTGGCAGCTCCACATGCTCAGCATGGCGCAGGGTCAGAGGAAAGCTGGTACCTGCCCCTGCCTGCTCCTGCTGGGCCCAGCTCTCCCTGCCCACAGACTGGCCCACCGTTCACCTTTGACACCTGACCCAGCTGCATCCCATTGCGCCCTTGGACTGTCAAATTCCTGTTACATCTGTTGCAAATGATGAAATATGCACAGAAATCTCCTTCCCTCCCAGCCCCACACCGATCCATCGCTACCCACAGTCTCTGCTTCTTCCTCTCTCCATCCCCAGCTTTTTCTCAGCCACACCCCCCTGCCTTGTCTTTCCCTCTGCGGCAGCTGCAGCAAGGTACGAGGTACCTGCCTCCCGAGAACGGGGAAACAGAGGCAGCTCCTGCACTGCAAAGGGGACGCTGCTGGAAAACAATCACGGCTGTGAGAACCAAGATGATAATTTCCTTTCTCTTAAAGAAACCAGTTCACAATCTGCTGATTTGAGGGCTTGGGAGAAACCAGGAGGAGAGGACTTCTCCTGTGGGGAGGCCTCTCTTCCTATCAACTGCCACTGGAGCCTGGATAACCAGCGCATGTTTAGGCTACCTCCAGGCTGAGCCACCTTCCCTTCCCCTCCCCAGTGAGTCCCACCAGGAGATAAACTTGGAGTGACATTCCCGATCCACTGAGTCACTCAGGGCTGTGCCCAGCTGCCCGCCAGGGACAGGCGCCGGAGTCCTGGCCTCAGCAAGGCAAGGGCTGTGCCGCAGGTAACTTGTGTGAGCGCCTGAAGGTGGACAGAAACATTCACAGTCTTGCACGTTTTGCTGGCATGGTAGCAAGAGCTACAGTCACATATTTTTAGCCTGAAAATTCTGGCACCAAATACAGACATCTAAAGAAAGGGGTCAATGAGACAAAAGGGTGCCGGTGCTTTTCCCAGTGTAGATAATTTGGCTTTAGGTACTAGTAAAAGTTACACTCCTAAAAGACCTGTTTTGTGTATCTACAATGGGAGTGTTTGCTGGTATTGCCAGAGCATTTATCAGTAAATTTTAAGGGCAGACAAGGGTGTTGCTGAGGAGGGAGGGGGTGCAGCTGAGGACTGGGCTTTGTGTGACAGGGATTAGTGCTGTCATCTCTGTGAAATACTCAAACCGCCTCAAAGCAGAGGGCCTGTCGCCTGTGCTGGGCTCAGGGTCGCTTGTAGACGTCTGAAAGCAGCTCTGTGAGCGGAACAGCAAGCCCTCGGGCAATGCTGAGCCTGACTCAGAGAGCCCACCCCACCCCGGGCCCGCAAGCTTTCCCCTGCCCCGCGCTTGCGCTCTGCTCTGCCCCCGCCACAGGAAGCGCGACGTTCACCCCTGCCCACGGCCGCCACCGAGCCCCGCTCCTGCTCGCTGCCACGGGACACACCATGCGACGGCCCTGGCTGTAGGGCTGCTGCTGCAGGACATCGGGAGCCCTTTGCCCACGGTGGGCCCATGAGGCAGAGGAGTATCTGTGCCACATTTCACCTGAAAAACACTTTCCATGGGCCACGGAGCCTTGTGCAGCAAGGGCGGACTCTGCCCTTTCACGGGAGGATGCGTGGGAGCTGTTCTGCACAGTGTGAGCACAACTATTGCGGCTGGAGCTGAGGGACTTTGTCCCTCCCATCATCTGTCACCTCAGGAGCCCACAGGGCCTCCAAACCGCCTGTGCTCCCTGCAGGGCATGTGTTCTCCCCTCACCCGAGGAGGAGGTTGCAGTGGCCAGCTCTCTGCTCCTCCTGCGGACAGAAGAGCTGCCGGTAGCCCCGAGTGTGTCCCAGGACAGAGAGAGACACAGGCCCCTCACCCTTTTATGTCCCCTGCTTCTGGAATGGCCTCAGGAGTGGGAAGAGGGACACAGTGGGACACAAGGAAGAGCCTAGCCGTGCCTTGGCGTGCTCCTTGGGGTGGATGAGCAAACGCAGCTGATTCCACCACAGCTAATGAATGCCTCGGCCTCTGCTCCTGGCCCATGAGGGGATTTCTCAAGCCACATGAAAGGGAGAAGACTCCAGGCACTTGTCCCCTCCTGACGACTGGCGCTCTTGGCAAAGCAGGCAAAGTGAGGGCAGCTCTTCCGTCTCCCTTTGCAGCAGGGCTGTGAGGGCACCAGGCGAGCTTGGATGAGGGGAGCAAGTCCTGTCCCTGAGCCAGGACCAAAGATTCAGGCTTCTCCAGTCCTCGGCACGTTGCCTCACCTGCTGATCACGAGGGGAAGTCCTCTGATGCCAGTACCTTGGGATTTTGTAATTTCACTTTACGCTGCCTCTGTGTCTTTCCCTTGACGTCCCTGCCCTGGTTGGCTCCTCCGGCTGGGAAGTGATTTCCAGTGCTGATGTCCCCCACTTGCAGGCTCCCTGTCAGAGCGTCTGCTTGCACCTTGACCTTGGATGGAGAGGGAGGGGTTTTCCTCTCAGCTTCGCTTCTGATCCCTACTCAGCAATCTCCCCCTCTCCCTGCTCTGCTGTCTCAGCATGGTTGAGGCACAACACAAAATACTACGCAGCAGCAGGGAAGTCCAGACATTTCACTGGGCCAGTTACGACTCTTCTGTCAGGTTGCAGAGTTCTCTGGAGGTGAAGGTGCTTCCTATGGGGAGTTTTACAGGGATGCGACCAAGGGTGCAGGGGTCAACGTGGGCCCACAGGCAGATCACCAGGCAGATGATGGATTTAAAAACATAAGGCAGCGGTAGCGGGGCTTTGAAAGCAGCAGGCAGGAGCCTCAATCAGTATCTGGATCCATCCGCTCCTGGTGAATTCAAGCTTCCCAAGTGACAGCTCCAATCATTGTAATTCTGAAAGATTGCAAGGGGGTGAGGAAACATCTTTATTTTTCTTCTATTTTTATGAGCATATGATAGCACTTTGATATGAAATTACTTGTTTTGCTGTATCCCTTGGTATTTACGGCTAGATTCCAAGCCACCCGAGGTCAGTGGAAAGACTGCCACTAACCTCAGCAGCTGCTGGCCCAGACCCATCATCAGGCACTTTCCTTCTTGGTCTGCATCCATTTTGCATGCAGCAAAAATGGAGAAAAAAACCCAAACCCTCACATGTCAAACCAGATGAAAATCCATCTGCAAAGCCACAGAAAATATCAGGGGATGGTACCGCCTTTGAAAACTTTGTAGGTTTGAAATCTACGGCGTCATTTAGACTTCAATTCTTTTGCAGCTCTTGAAATTTCCTCCCACTTTGGTTGTTTGTAAGAACAGCTAGTATCTCCGGGCAATCGGGCTGGGATTATTATAATTGTTGTTCATGTGTGTGTGGAGTGACTGACGCAGATGTTTTTACAATGGATGCTTTATAAAATGACAAAATACTTTCAAACTAAGTAGGCAGTGTCGTTTGCATGATGGACTGCTTCCAAAATACCCTCCATCAATCTTCCCCTTCAGAAGCCCGCTGCCTGTGTGGGTGCCCTGCTCCTCCCGAGGGGCGTCAGCGAGCCGCAAAAACGCCTTTCTCACACACAAGGCCGCGATAGATTTTGGAAATCCAAAACAAGGCCTGTTGCAGGGCTCTGAACTAATGAACTCCAGTGCCACCCTGCCAGGAAGAGCAGCTCTGGAGATAGCATGCTCCCCAGCTACTCATCGGGTGTGCTTCAGCGCCGTAGTGACAGTGACCGCCACGGCACAGAGCTCTTGCCTGACACCATGGCTCGGCTGCCGTGCCTGTACCGCTGCAGGAGTGAGGGCGCAGGCCGGGAGGGGGTGGGCCGC